TTTTTTTTTACATCATAATGTAACAAAGATAATAATTTTTTTATTGAGATTTAAGTTATTAATTAAAGACATGTTAATAATGTGATTATAATCTTTAATTACTCCATCTACTTTTAAAATAAAAAAAAATTAAAAAATGACATCCACGCTGCGTCAATATTACAGTCTATATTCATTTATTTTTATTTTAATGGAATATATTCAAATTATCAGCATCCCTCAATTTTAAATACTCTATATATACTCTTCTTGAGTACTCTACTGTACCAAACAAAGATATGAAGATCTTCACAAAGCTCTCTGCACCACTCTGCCTCCTTTTTGTCTTCCTCTGTCTTAAAACTGCCTTCTCATCCTCTATACATGCTTCTTCCTTCTCAACAACGCATCTCTGCTCTCATGAGGAGGCTCTTGCTTTGCTGCAATTCAAGACATCCTTCTCCATCAATTACACTGCTTCGGATCCATATTATTGTGGGGATCATTTTTATACTAAACCTAATTATTCTAAGATTGAGTCATGGAAGGAAGGTATAGACTGTTGTTCTTGGGATGGGGTTAGCTGTGATAATGTCACAGGCCATGTAATTGCCCTTAATCTCAGCTGCAGTTTCCTTTATGGCACCTTTCCTTCCAACAGCACTCTTTTCTTCCTCAGAAACCTGCAGAGCCTCAATCTTGCCTTGAATGATTTTAGGCTTTCCAAGATTCCTTCGGAAATCAGTCAGTTTACTAGACTAAAGCATCTTGATGTCTCTTCTTTTGGATTTTCGGGCCAAGTTCCGAGAGAAATTGCTCACCTCCCCAAGTTAGTTTCTCTCAATCTCTCTTATTCTGACTTGATCCTTGAAACAACTACCTTCAGAAATCTTGTTCATAACTTGAGTGAGGTGAGAGAACTTGTGCTTAGTGGAGTGAACATGACATCTGTTAATCCTCGTTTCTTCATGAATCTCTCTTCTTCTTTGACTACTCTTCGTCTTTTTCATTGTCAGTTAAGAGGAAACTTTCCAAACAGTATTTTTCGCTTTCCAAATCTCAACAAATTTAGTTTAGGTGGGAAGGGAAACCTCACTATTGATCTTCCAAGTTCCAATTGGAGCAGTCCTCTCCAATATTTGGTTTTAGGTGTCATGCATTGCGGGGGGAGATTACAAGAGTCCATAGGAGATCTAAAGTCATTACAAGTTCTACGACTCACTTGCAATTTGGAAGGTTCCATTCCGACTTTCATATGTAACTTAAGGCAACTTACTGTCCTATACCTTGATTCTAACAATCTTAGCGGACAAATCCCATCATCAATTGCAAACCTCACACAACTTAGTCATCTTGTACTTTCAGATAATCAGTTTTCTGGTCCCATTCCTTTTCATGCTATTAGGTTTTCCAAACTAATGTATCTAGACTTATCTTATAACTTACTTAATGGCACATTGCCACCTTGGATTTTCACCCTACCTTTGTTAGAGGAATTGTATCTCAATGATAACCAATTTCAAGGTCAAATAAATCATTTCCAGCAAAACTCACTCACACGTCTAGCTTTGTCAAACAATAAACTCCAAGGCTCAATTCCTAACTCAATTGCTAATTTAGTAAATCTTAGTTTTCTCGATATAGCATCAAATCATTTTAGTTTGATATCCTTGACAATGAATGTCGATGCCAACTTCACATTACCCAAACTAACTAATGTTTCCTTTTCTTCTTGTAACTTGAGTGAATTCCCCAATTTCTTAAGACATTCAAATGGTCTGCAAAGCCTAGTGCTATCCAAAAATAGCATTCATGGAAATATTCCCCAATGGATATGTGAAAAGAATGATCTCCAAATTCTTGACCTTTCTCATAACAATTTAATCGGGAAGATTCCAAATTGTCTTCCTAAGTTTCTCTCAGTGTTGAATTTGCAGGCCAATAACTTTGATGGAAATATACCATTTGGGTTTCCAAAGGGTTGTGGATTACGAAATCTCAACTTACATGGAAATCAAATGGACGGGCCATTACCAAGGTCTTTGGTGAATTGTAACAAGTTAGAGGTTCTAGACGTTGGCAACAACAGCATAGAGGATACATTCCCTCATTGGTTGGAATCTCTACCAGACCTTTAAGTGCTTGTCTTAAGGTCCAACAAGTTCCACGGTTCTGTGCAGAGCACCAAAGAAAGTCCATCTTTTCTCAGGTTACGAGTTCTGGACCTCTCCAACAATGATTTCCTTGGTCCTTTGCCTGTTCGGTACATCGAAAATTTTAAAGCGATGATGGACCTTTATAGAGATGAGGGTTCTCCTGAATACATGAATGTCTATTCTTATCAATATTCACTGGTTGTGACATGGAAGGGATTCGACTATGAGCTGCAGGGAATCTTGACCGTATTCAGTAGTATTCATCTCTCAAATAACATGTTTGAGGGAGAAATTCCAGATGTTATTGGAAACCTTAGTTCTCTCAAAAGCCTTAATCTTTCTCATAACAACCTTACTGGTCATATCCCACCATCACTAGGGAATTTGATGAATCTGGAATGGTTGGATCTCTCTTCCAACGAGCTGGCGGGGAAAAATCCAGATGAATTGGTATCTTTGACACAACTTTCTGTGTTGAATCTTTCAAATAATCATCTTGTCGGACGCATACCACAGGGCAATCAGTTCAACACCTTTGGAAATGGTTCTTATGAAGGAAACCTTGAACTGTGTGGAATCCCATTGTCAAAATCTTGTGATGGAATTGGGACACCGCCGAGCTCCTTCCAAGAAAAAGATGAGTTGTGGAGATTTGG